CTTTATGGATTATAGTGATGCTGAATTGACAAGAATACTGTCAACATGTGACACATTTTATCCTGTGTTTCCAGACTTATGTGTGTTTGAGGACACACAAGGAATTGTTAATGTGTCCTATTTATTAAAGGGAGTTTGGTGCAATATTTTTCACCAGGAGCAGGATGAGAAATGAAAGGAATCTAATAGTGACCTTGTAAGATCCCTGGTCTTTGAAAAATGTTATAGTGTCTTCAGATGAGAGAGGGTGTACAAGACTTTTGTCTTTTAAAGGTATTTTCAAAGTCTAGTCTAGTGCATGTTAGGAGTTAATGAGCCAGCTTAGTGGTGCACTGATGTGATAGCTCTGCAGAAAAGTGAAAATGAAACTCAAGCTCCAGCTGCCATCTTAACTTTCAGATGGTTCTATTTTAATGATGATCTTTCCTTTCTTAATAATGTGCCCCGGAGTTTTAACTCAACAAGGACACATTTAACATATTTCCTACTGTAAAATTTAGAGAAACAGACAGGTGTTTTCTCAGTGTTAGTGGGGACATGAAAAGACAATGTAATGAATTTTGCTTTCTTTCTGTTGGCAGCTTGGCCTCTGAATATGAGCCCAGACAGGGACCAGGGTTCAGGAGCCCAGAGGATGTACAGCTGCTAAAAACTGTACTACAGGACTCCATCAAACTTTTAGAACAGGTAGGATGAGCTGGGAATGCACTGTATACATGAAAGGTCTGATTGTACTGTAGCTCCAGTGTGGCCATGACTCTGCAGTGCTTTGTGCAAAGTAATGTAGTTCATCATAGATTTTTGACACATAATTAGAAAGCAGAATTTAACAACCAGCAGGTGTCCATCACATAAATTCACACCTATTTTTTAACACTTTTTTTAACACCTAAATCAGGTTTTCTAGCTGCTGACTCATTTCTTCTTCTCCTCACAGCTCCGCAGCTCCCTGCTGGTGCTGCAGCAGAACTTTGCGTTGGCCAATCGCACAGCAGCACCACAGTGATGCTTCACACTGGAGACTACACAGTGCCTGTCTCCAGCCCTGTGGAGGGAAAACAGGACTGCAGCAGTGAGCTGCCTCTGAGGAAATCTCTGGTATCCAGTGACATTGCCATGTAGACGCGTCCCCAGACCCCTGACATGCCGTGTGTTGCCACGGGTTACACGTCCCAAAGCCTGTGGCGGGGCATCAGGTGCCAGGATGTTTTTAAACCTTTGGACTGACTGCTGCAGGGACAGAGTTACATCAGTCGGCTGCACACGGAGCAGCAGGTTTAGATTTCTTTAGGGTGCTATTGTCAGCTCCCTTGGCTGGCTTCTTTTTCACTCTTTACTTAAATAGCGGCATTGGATTTTAGAAAACTCTTTACCTATGTGTCGTCTTATGTTCTTATGAGCCTTGTGCCACACCAGATGAACTTTTGGAAATACTTTTATTTGCGTTTTATTTCAGGGAAGTGAATCAGTTATTTAAAAGAACAATTTTCTCTCTTTACAGTTTTGCACATATTTTAATTTTTGCACAAGTGCCTTGTAGATTTGGCCTGTTTAAATATATTTTGGGATTTTTATTTTTTCCAATAAAATTGAAAGGATCAGAGACTCTCTTTTGTAATCATAGTAATTCATCCTTTTTTGTGTATGTAAACTGCGACATTAAATTTACAAATTGCAAATAAAAAATATATGTATATATTTTAGAATACTGTATATGAGCCAAATCTGGTATACAGAGATACTGCTGATGGTGTGCCTTTCTTCAGACGACATATTTAATATACTTGATTAATTTTCTTTACTCACCTGTTCATGTGTAATCACAGTTTTATGTGCTTTCTTTTTCTACACTGAACCAAGTAAATAACTGGGTGTAAGGTCAGTGAGACTATCTCAGGTTATTGTAGTACTATGTTGTCACACTGTCAACACTAGATGCACGTTTGTTCTGTGATTTCCAAATTTACATGAACAGTAATCTTTATTTTCCCAATTGTTGGTGACACGCCGCTTCAGTTGCCTTGAGCCTTGTTTGATGTTTACAGTGTTGCCATCACTCGCATCTGTGTGCATATTTTTGTTCATCTATTCTTACTTAAAAACACTTCTGCAAGCAATCACTTGTTTAAAATCGGTTCCTGTTTTGTACATTTTTAGCATATTGTAATTTTAATAAACAAGATTTCTTGCCAGAATCAGTACTTCATTACCTGTTCTGACATTTTTAAGGTACAATATATTACAGATGCATATGATAATTGTCATTATTGATGGGTCTGCTATTTATTTTCTTTGACAATTGTTATTGTCAAAATGTCAGATAATATAAATGTTAATGAAATATTAGCCTGTAAAATAGTAATGTCCATCACAGCAGCTGAGGTATTTTAATGTCTTGTTTTGTGCGACTAAGTAACCATTCAAAACAATATTAACATAATATTATTCACAAGTACTGTAGGTACTAGTTTGAGGTACTTTAACTTGAACATTTTTTTTTTATCATACCACTTTCTACTTCTCCACAACACTTCAGAGGGAAATATTAAAATTTTTATTTCACTACAAATATGTGATAAATTACTAGTTAAGTAGCAAATTTAGATTTTTGCATACAAACCATATGAACATTCAATTTTTCTCATTTTCCTGCAACAACATTTTATGGTTCCAGCTTCTAAAATTAAGTACTTTTATTGATAATATGTACATGCATGTTTCTGATTGTATTCAGACAGTGTGATAGTATTTTTGCTCAAGTATTCATCATTTATCAGAATACAGACCACATAGAGAAACTGCAGGCTAAAACAAGCACATAATCATACACTGGCTATTTAACAGTTTTGGTTCATCATTCTTAAAACTGGACTGTGCAAGTTGGTGAAATAGCCACAACTGCACTTTTTTTAAGGAACTTACTGAACTGAGAGTACTGGAAGTTATTCTATTAAATCAGGTTCAGTGATTCTTTTTGTCATAGCTGATGCTGGCAGGAGCTGCACACTGTGTCCTGTATGCTGCTGCTGGAAAAAGAAACGGAAAACTAAACAGGAGTAAAGCCAAATGTCTCTTTGTTGCTGTATCAGAGGTGAAATACAAAACTACTAAGACTGTGTTTAATTATTGAACAGTAGCCTGTCCTTATTTACTCCTAGAGGAAATACTATATGTCATCTATAAGCCTAGTATCCTTAGGATATATGATAGTGGCAGCATCTGCACCTTCTACGCCGTCTACACCATCTCCCGCTGTATACTGTATGGAATTATCCCTTTAGGAACTTCTATAAAGTTTCATTTTAATATCCAGTGGTGTAACTAAGTGCAGTTACTCGGACACTGTAATTCTGAGTACTTTAAAATGGTAATGTTATATAATGTATAGTCAGTGGTGTTGTGGTTGTTGATGAGGTGGGTGTACTACTAGGTAGATGCGTCGATGAATTGCTTAACAAGCCTACTAGGCACAGGTCCAGGGGTCCAGATTGTCAGGGTGCCCCCTGGTCTTCATCTACATTTGTCACTCAACTCACTGTAATGTGTTCCAACCAGGAAAAGACAGGCAAAGCAGCTGTGAATACATGTAACACAACCAAAAAAAGACACAAAATGATACAAAACACATAAAGATGTGACGTGACTACAAAGATCTTGCTCTTTGTGTATAAATCACTCTGTGGCTCAGATCCCAAATATATCTCTGGCATGCTTGTGACATATGAACCTTCTAGGATCCTTAAGACATCTGGGGCCGGCCTATTGACCGCCCCAAGAGTCAGAGCAAAACATGGTGATTTGTTATCATGCAGCACAAACCTGGAATAACCTCCCAGATGATGTTAGACAAGCCCCAACTCTGACCACTTTTAAGTCAAAGCTAAAAACATTCCTTTATTACACTGCCTACTCCACCCTGTAATGGACAGTGTCCCAGTGGACTTCCAGCCCCTTATCAAAGTCTTTTAACAGGCAGGCTGCCCGTTCCATGTTTAGTAAGTCCAGATATTCCTTCAGCCAAGAGTCCCTTGTGAAGCAGGATGCTTTACGCTCCTTCCAGTTTAGAAGAATTACTCTCTGCCCGTAGGCGCTCAACAGATACTCAAACATTACTGTCCAATTTCAGGCCCAGCAAGCATACTTTGGGGCACACTGGGAAACTGACATTGAAAAACTTTGACATGAGAGATATCACTTCTAACCAGAGTGTTTTAACAGCTGGGCAGCCACAATTATGCCAGCATAAATCTTGATGTTTGTCAGGAGTGTGAAATCCAGAACAAGACTGGCCAACAGCTTCTACCCACAGGCCATCAGACATGCATGAAACACAGCCCCCTCCCCATCACATCATACTCACTGACTGCCCCAACATTTGCATGAGGCATGGTGCACTTTACATTTGAACTCAGGTTTTTAAGCTTATTTTTTCTGCTATTTTTTATTTATTTGTTCTTAAATCTAACTTTAATTCAATTTTTTTTATCGTCTTGTGACTGGCACTTAAGAATTTCGCCGTACTGTGCAAACTGCTGAGTTTTCTACTGTGAAAATGACAGTAAACTTCTTGAATCTTGAATCCATCGTGGATAATCTAACAGGAGTAATATATGCTCTGCACTGAAATGTGCTATACAAATAAAGCTGCCTTGCCTACTTCCTCAAAACGTGAAAGAACCAGCGCAGTAAGAATATCCATCCTGTATTCAATACAATTCAATTTGTTTTGGACTATGTCTGAAATACTTTTACTGGAAATTGTTTCATTTGCGTGAAGAAGAATGGTTTTTAGGACCCATTTTAAGCAGAATTATCTTTATAAAATTGATTTTTTTGTGCACAGTTAGTGATTGAACTGCTCAGCTGTATATTTTAAGTAGTTAAAGTGAGCTAAACCCAACATTAAAAGCAGTGTGTGGCCCACATCTGTCCTGTACGTGAGGACATAGTAAACGCGCCCTGGGCGGGGAGAGTCCAGCTCCTCTGACGTCAGGAGGGAAACAGTTTGGAGGCAGAGCCACAGGACGTCTCCCTCAACAGCGAACCCGAACCAGGTACATACCCGGTGAGAAAACCCCGTTTGGACCTCGGACACTTGAACCCACCCATATTTGTGCTATTCTGGAGACTTCCTTGGCTCACGGAGCGTCATGTAGCTCCGAGACACACCGGATACGACAGCCGTTACCAGGCGCGAGACTTCCGCTGAGGACTGAGGAGCCCGGCTGAGGGGAAACTGCTTCAGTCGAATCGATATCTACTGCAAAGCGTCGGCATGTAGCAGCTCAGTGTGTGTTCAGGTATGTGTAAGCTGTGTTTCGGCTTTCAATTTCTGTCTCTGGCACCACGTTTAAGCCCCGTTTGATCCTGCGGCTTGTTTACAGGTATGACAAGTGAAATCTGGGTCAACTGTGACCCTGCGGTCGGTGATTAACCGGCTGTCATGAGACGTTCAGTGACCACAGACTGCAGTAATGTTTATTTCAGTTAACCTCAATCAAAGTAGGCTGCATGGCGGAACTATATCCTGCACATAAAATGACTGACAAGACACACCTACCATTCAGCTTGATCCATTTATCATAATGTTAAAGCAAGTTTTGAGCCACATGATTTATAAATATCTCAAAAACGATTTAATTTGTGTAACATTATCCTCAATAATGTCTCAACTATGTCACCTTTAATGAAGACACAAGCTGCAGAGGCTGTTAGTCATCTTAGTTATACTGATCAGCAGTTTTTCTATCAATTTAAGACATGTAGACCTACAGATATTATTTAAAATAAAACTTTGTCAACATCTGTTTTTATCTAATAGGCAAAAAAAAGTTTTCAGTCTGTTCATCTCACTTCAGCCATTTTTTTTTGCAGTAGCAAAATGAATCTAATGGACTGAAAAAGCAATTGATTATGTTATTCTAGTAGGCTATCTAAAGTCAAGTCAAGTCATTACTTGAAAAGAAACAGACAGCTTCCTTATATGCTTCCGTATTATAAGATACAGCCAAGCCAGGAGCTGTTTAGATAAGTTTAGCATTAAGACTGGATACAAAGGGACATTTTTTTAGCAGGTGCAGTGACTGTATGTGCCCAGCCAAAAAATAGTCCAGCACAAAAACCTGCATAAAACCACAACTCCTTTGAACAGTTTGTTTTTTAAGTGGATTGAGAAAACAAGATATAAAATAATGAGTGTGCATTAGAGATGGTCGTAGGCAGAGTTTTTCAGGCTACCTGTTTCCCTCTGTTTCCAGTCTTTTATGCTAAGCTAAGCTAACAGCCACCTTGGCTGTAGCTTCACATTTAACTTGTGTTTGGGAGTAACATGCAATTTAATTACAAAATAAATAGTCTAGTAGCCAGCCCATAGAGCCCCATTGTGAACCCGGAAATGTTGAGTACACCAAAGTTTTATTGCAGAAATGTGAAGTATGGGTCCACAGCATACAGAAACTGCAGGATGCTAATTTTCATATGTTGAGCAATTTGCATAATTAGCACAATTAGCAGAATCATCCAGATTGACAATAGATTTTGCACTGTGTGACCAGTTTCTAGAATATTGGAGTGGTTTAAGAGGTTTTAGAGGATGCTGAATTCAATTCTGGCACTTTCAGACTTCAAAGTGGTAATTCTATAACAAATTTGGATAAATTTAGACACATTTTTCATTAATTTCGGACAAATTTTTAGGTTATTTTCATGGTAAACACAATAATCTCACATTTCAGAATCACAAGAGCTCTTGCTCTTTGATGTGAATGTTGATAACCTAAATTTGTTTACATTTCTTGAGGTCCGGTCATGTTTTTATGCAAATAAGCTGTTGCAGCTAGCTGTTGTAGTTGTAATAAGTATGTTGTAAAGCAAGGGAGCATAGTCTAGTTTTAAAGTACTTGAAACATTTAAAAAATGTATGGAAAACTTAATCATAAAGGGAGCAGTTTCACCAACTAGCAAGTCTTCCTTAAAGCGGAACGCCGGCGTTATTGAACTCATAGCCCTATCGAACAAGCTAATCACAAACAACTGAAACGTTAAGGAATGAGAATATTTGGTACAACATAACTTAAGTTGTGTGCTCGGCAGTAGAGCTAACCTAACAGGGCATTTTTGCAGTTTCGGTTTCATTTCAAAAATGCCTGGTTCAGTGCGCTTTAGCAGCTGGGTACAGAACTCGTGCTACGTATTACCAAATTTTCCCATTGCTGCACATTTTGGTTACTAGTAACAATCTTGCATGATAGGGCTATGAGTTCAATAACGCCGGTGTTCCGCTATAACACTGGGAGGGAGGTTTACCTAGTAGAACAGGCCCTGGGTCGAACCTGCAACCACCCAACAACGGCAGATTGGGAATTGAGAGTGCTTATCTTAAAATCCCTGAATACATGTCTACTTCTGGGTGAGGTTTACCAGTGTTAATATACCTACCTAGCCTCAGTTACGCCTTCTGTGACACTCACCCCCCTTAACCTCACTCTCATTTGTCACGGCACCAAAATATCAGCAGTCTTCTCATATAGTCTGCCTGCCCTGGGTTTCAAACCTGTGACCTCCCAGCAACACCAGATTGGTAATACCAACACTGAGCTGACCCAGGCTCCCAACTCAGTAGTTAGTAAAGTTGGTTAAGTGAGTGAGGTTTACCAACATGCACTAGTGCAACTAGCATCCTAGCTGGCATCAGTTGGCATCCATTACACTAACCAGTATCCTAAAAGCCTGGATTGCTAGTCTAGGACGGCTAGTTTACCAACGCCTCTCTAAACAAGTTTTGACATTGTCAACCTGGGTGACCAATGTGGTACCATTCTGGCCATGCATGCTCTTTCAGGATGTGATACCACCTCACATCCTGTTGGGAAGGGGAAGGTGCACTCAAGGCCATGAGAGTCGTACCTGGTAAGCTTCTCCACTGTATTGGAGAGGCAGAAGCCACAGATTTACAGATCACAAAAGCAACGAGGGCTTTCTTTCTGGCTCTGTACAATCAGAGGAACTCTGTAACCTTGGATGCAGCCCAGTATGAAATTTACTGAAAGCGCAAAAGGTCCCCAGCACTGAAGACACTACCTCCTACAGAGCGCAATATGCGCCTTCATGGAAGACGTGCCCACCTACAGGTGCTGCTATGGAAAGCAGCAGACCAGCCTGATCCACCGGCTGTGGATATCACCTTGCTTGGATGGGACAAGAAGATGGGCCTAAAGGAAGGAGAGGAACTGATTATGCCCACCCAGAATTCAAGTCCAGCTGCTCCTCCTGCTTTGTTAGATGTTGTCAGCTGTGGTTGCAAAGCCGGGTTGAAACCTTGCACATCAGCAAAGTGCAGCTGTGCAGCTGCAGGTCTGGCCTGTACCAGTTATTGTTCCTGCAAAGGCAATGATGGTATATGCTGCAACATACTCACACAACACCAAGAACACAAAGAGAGGGATGATGGGTCCGGAGAAGATGATGACAGAACAGACGAGGATAGTGAAGATGATGAGGCTGCCTTTTGTTAATTGTGAGGCATAGCAGATTGCCTGAAGGTGGTAGCCAGTGTGTGCTTTGTGTGGTGCGGAGGTGAGGCCCTCTTGGTTAGCCTTGCATCTGGCGGGCTGACCCAGTTTGCCCAGACTCAGTTTTAACTCTTGCGTCTCGCAGAGTTTTAACTGAGTCCTCGTTGGATTTTGCGACTTGCGGACCAACCTGGGCAGCCCTTCTGCCATTCGGGCCTGGCCCTAGCCATTTGCGGGGCCTGTCTTGTATGGCATGTATATAGTGTATATTTGTACATAGTTCGTTGATCACACATGTTGATGGGCTTAGGTGATGTCATCTCATTGGGTGTCTTAAAGAGCTACCCCATTAATACCCCATTAATATGTATTGTACAGTTGCAGGATCCAAGTTATGTCAAATACCCGCATTGCTTTTTCCTCCAGAAATGCATAACATTGAGTCTAACAAAGATTCAAAGAAGCAATTTCAGCTTCACTACATCCTGAAAACAATGCATCAACATTCACAAGAGCACTCATGATTCTGAAATGTAAGATTATTGTGTTTACCATAAAAATAACCTAAAATTATGCCTGAAAGTAATCAAAATTTGCCTAAATACATCAAAATATATAATAAAATTAGCTCTTTGGAATCCGAAAATGCCAGAAATGAAATCAGCATCCTCTAAAACCTCTAAAACCACTCACATATTGTAGAAATTGGCCATACTGTGCAAAATATGTGGTCAAAATGGACGATTAAGCTAATAATGCTAATTATGCTAAATATGCAAATTGCTCAACATATGCAAATTAGCATCCTGCAGTTTCTGTATACTGGGGACCCATACTTCACATTTCTGCAATAAAACTTTGGTGTACTCAACATTTCCGGGTTCACCTAGTTGGCTACTAGACTAAAACTTAAAAGTAATTATAGAAAACAACAACAAAATGGCAGGCCAAGTCCTTCCAAAATTACACCTCTTGTACGGTCCTCTCCAGACTCAATGTCCTGTTTCTATATATTCTCACATATTATCTGTTATTGCATAACACTGTCAAAAAAAATCCAAATCAACATAAACCTCATGTCGCTCTTTACGCACAGTGTTGTCCACAATCTCCTACTCTGCACTAAACTGCTTTATGGCACTATACCTGGCGTAAATAACTTGTGTCTGCATTCTTACACATAAATAAGCTAGACATAAACATAACTTTAGTATAGTCTGCTACCATACGCTATTGAAAATATACAGAAACTGTTGTTTTAACTTAAATATAATCAGAACCTATACAATATGTCACATCAACACAGACATTTTTACCAAATATAAATACATGCTTAAGTGACTCTTACAGTAATTATTAACAGTTACTGAAAAAAATATGTAATTAATTTACAGTTACAGGGGTTAACTCCACATATATTCTTGTCAGTAAAAAGGTTACATGTAATATCATTCATTCTGTTGCTTTGCATCAGAAGGTCCAGACACACCAAACTGTTGTTGGAGAACTAGTGGCATTCAGTCAGGTATTCAGTTAAGTATCACATAAGATACAGAAAATTGGTAAATCTTCTCAATTTATAAGCTAGAAATGGCAGTTTATTGAAATAGTTGCCAGTCCATTTTCTGTCTTCCAGCCTATTGATAAATCAAGTAATCTTTTGACCTCTAAGGAAAGAATACATCCCCACTCTTATTCCCATCTACAAAGTCATCAGTCATGAGCAGCAGCAGCCATCCTGAGTTGTATTTTAAAGCTTTTTAGGGTCCTGATGCACTTACAAGTCAAACCACATACAACGGAAAATCCCTCAGTGTCACAAGAGGACATAAAATTGCTGAGCACCACAGTCACGCTATGAATCCTTGCAGCAGTATTTTATTTATTTATTTATTTTTGTCAGGGAGCAGATGTGCTAGTTGGTGTTACCACACACCCACACACTTATTAATCAGCACATGTAGCCTTCTGTCTTCTCTTTAGGCCATTTAACTTGCTTTAAGGCTGCCACAGAGGACTCACCAGTTAAATACTGATGACCTTTACTGAGCCTGATGTCTTTTCTACGATGCTAGTTTGATAAGTGGCTGACCAATAGTAAAAAACACGATGACATGCTTTGATTTATTGCTAATCAGAGGCTTATTCAACAGAGCCAGATCTCCCTAGAGAGAGGTTTAACTGAGCTAAAGGGTTAATCCCACTGCTCTTGCTCTCTGTGATGGAGGGGACACTGAACACCTGTGATTGTTATAAATGCTCCCACTGCCTCATCTAACCTCAGATCCATCTGTGTGTCTAAACAAGCCAGCGGGCTGCAGCGGTGAGACCGTTGTAAATCATTAAAAGCATGATGGATGTGTGACAGATGTGAGGGTAGCGGTCAGATGGGGTAGGGTCAAGTGAGCAGGGTCTGTTTTGCAGTGTGGCGTGGTGGAAATCTGTTTGGAACCGCTCCACCATTTATAACGCATACAAATAGCTGGTAAGCTGCTGTGTGCAAAGCATGTTGCAGTAAAGTGGGCTTTTAGAGAATTGTTGTCTTTCACTTCCTGTCTCTTATCTGCCACTTTTCTCATCTTTGAATATAGTTTTATCTATAACAGAAATGTTAGTCACGGCACTAATAAACTTTTCTATGATCTGATAGGCCATCGACCATGAAGAAGCGAGCCAACAAGGTGCTGGAGGAGGAGGAGACCTTGTGCTGCTGCGAGTATGTGAACAGACTCGGAGAGCGCAGCCATGTGGCAGCTTGCTGCTGTGACTGTGAGGACCTGGATGATGCCTGTGACAGGTGAGTCATTAAATTCAACAACTCTGGGGCTGCAACTAATGATTACTGTAACTGACAATCGATTTAGTCTATAAAATGTCAGGATGTCAGTGAAAATATGCCCATCACAATTTCGCAGAGCCGAAAGTGGCATCTTCAAATCTGATAAAGAGTCCAAAACCCATAAATATTCACTGTACTATGATATAAAACAGCAGGAAACATGAAATCATCACATTTGAGAAGGTGGAACCAGCAAATGTTTGACATTTCTAATTGGTCTTTTGGTTGGTCGGTCCGATCCAGACTGAAATATCTCCACAACTATTGATGGATTTCCTTTGAATTTTGTACATTCATGGTCCCAGGAGGTTGAATCCTACATACTTGAGTGATTCTGACATTTCCTCTGGCACCAACAGCAGGGCTGTGTTCTTTACATGCAGAAATTCGTGTTCCCATAGGATGAATTAATAACGTGCCAAAATAAGATGGTAAACTTTAGCTGTGTTGTCATTTTTCTCATGTTAGCATGCTGACGTTATCAGTTAGTTTAAAGATATACCATGCAGGAAATTTCCGAAAAAGACAGGGGTATACTTGCTTATAGCTACGCGTTTGCATGTATCATACATATTTGCCATTGTCATGATATTCTTGATTTAATGGCCTTATCTACGATTTCACTGATTTCACTGCTGTCACTTTTTCTGCGGTGATGTCAAAATCAGCAGTATAGTAACATCTTCGGGTGTTGCCATATTTATCGTTTACATCAGTGGTTCCCAACTGGTCCAGCCACGGGGTCCAGATTTCTCCTAAGTCATTAGTTTAAGGTCCCAACAGTCCTCAACAACATGGCCAAATGCAAGTTTGACGCTGAATATATTCAAATATATTCAGCGTCAAACTTGCATTTGGCCATGTTGTTGAGCTAATTTTCTGTCTCTCTCAAGTAACTGTCCTTAAGTTGCTCACTCTACAGCAGGAAACGGCACTTCAAATTAAAAGCTTTGTGTCAGAAATTCACCGTACTTCAATATAAAGTGTGTTTCTTACAAAGTTGACACGTTCACGAGTCCCTTGCGGTCCATTATGAATGGACTTGCAACCCACTTTTGGACCGGACCCAACAGTTGGGAACCATATCATGCAAATTTGGAAGTGTGACCTCTAGTGGAATCATCCAGTAACACGAGTAGTACATTGGCAAGCATGTGAGCATTTACGTTCATGATGCAGCCAGTTATCAATGTGAATGCCTGCTTACAAAGCAAGTATATCTCTGGCCTTAAAATGACCTCACACAAACTAGACCTAAACCAATTAGTTGATTAATTAATCAGATAAGCCAGTTAAAGCACTGAACATGCTGATTAAGATTTTAAAAATATGTTTCTTTATTTCAAAACATAATTAAAAAATCTGTAGTTTTTTTTTATTAAAATAAGTATCTCAACTTAAAGGGAAACTACACCTGTGCTCTCCCTGCTGTGACATTAAACTCAAATGTCAGGCTTTAGAGAGGTTTATATGTATTCTTCAAAACAAGTTAATGAGGGTTTGCCCACTTGGTGGCTTTACCAATTTATGAATAATTGTTTTTTTTTCTTACCCATTCAGGTTTCTGAAGAGGGAGCCTCAGAAGCCTGAGTCCCTGTCAAGTTTGGCCGCAGTTGTCACAGACCGTATTCGTGTGCCCTGGCTGTGGGGTGGAGCCCGAAAAGTGGAACTGTCCGTCATCCCTCCTCTTATTCTCCTTCCTGTCCTGCTGCACCTCGCTGCCCTCCACTTCCTGCTCGGCATGGTGACTCTGACAGCTCTGCCTGGCCTGGTGCTGTGGTATTACTACTTCACCCATCGCAAGAAGGGACAGACACTCTTCTTCCTCAGCCTGGCCCTCTTCTCCCTGGCGTACATGTACTACTTGTTCATCACTGAGGTGTTTCCCCGCAGGGATGTTGGCCTGGTCCAGTTAGTGGTGGTAACCTTAGGGGTCATACTCACACTGGCAGCCCTTTTCCACACCAAAAGAGAACCTGGCATTGTGCGGCCAAACCAGGAGTCCGTTCACAGCACAGTGACATACTACAGCCCTCTGGCAGACAGGGACCCTGCCGTCAATGGCGGGAGGCAGGATGTGACGATGACAGTATCCAACCGGGCGGGATCGCCGGAGCATGCAGGGATGGAGCAGAAGGAAACCAGCCGAAGAAACTGGTGTCCGGTGTGCAGGGTGGTGCGGCCCCCAAGGGCGGGACATTGTCGGATCTGTGGTGTCTGCGTGCTGCGTCTCGACCACCACTGTGTCTGGTTGGTTCCATTAAAATGCCTCTCACTCGGCCTGTCATCACTGTTTCTTCCACTTTGTCTCACATCTCAAACACTGACATTTCCTTGTCTGTCACCTGCTCCTCTTTCCAGCACAAACAATGCAATAAATCTAAAAGAAGTCCTTCTAACTTTCAAAACAATGCCCTTAAGCAACTGTCTTTCTTTCCAGGATATGTAATCAGCTCAGACTGAATGAGTGTTTGTCCTGTTCACACCTGCTGTGTCTTTATTAACCATATTTGTATGTTGTGTCAACATCAGCTACAAGTGAACAGTTCATCGCCATCATCCTCTCCTACACTTATACGTGTGGTCCTGCATGTGTGTAGTGTAACCCTGGGGTCTCAGTACCATGTTCTGTCTGCCTGTGTGTGTACTTGTGTGTTTGTGCGTCCCCTCCGTGGGTGCCTGGGTAGGATAAACAGCTGTGTGGGGCAGGCCAATCACCGCAGCTTCCTGCTTACGCTCGTCCTCTTCCTGTCGACGTCCTTGTACGGGATCACCCTGGTGCTGCAGAGTGTGTGTCCGAACCAATACCTCCTCACTGCCTTGCTCTACTGCCCCGGGGTCTACGACCAGTACAGGTAGTAAGAGCAAAGACATACACTCTGTACACTCCAGACTGGGTAAATTAAATATTATATTCCCTTAAAGTTAATATTTATCTAATTCTGAAGCTCCATTATTCTAATGTACGTTTTTGTTCACACAGTTGTGAAATTCCTAGAAAAGCTATGCAATTAGACTGTTTTCCAGGCCTGGAAATGATTTGGAATTGACAGAATGTTTTGGAAAAGTTTTGAATATACTATTTTTGTATAAAATATGTTCATAAAAATCCCAAAACATATTTTATGTTACACGAAATCTGTTCCTTATATTACCTGTTTACAATATAGTGCTGCACTTCATGACCACTGAAACATTACTAGTGTCGAATGATTGGCATATGCAGCTAGTTGGCGTTGGGAAAGTCTAATGAGCAAGTAAAGTTAGAAAGCGCGAGAAGTTTGCTTATCTGCAAATGCTTGGGAAGTTTGTATTTAATAATGTATAGCTTTTGAACATAAAATGACTTTAGAGAGAGGCAGACCTTAGTCACGCCAGATGTATCTCTGCACCAAAACTTATGACGTTAACAACATGTAGAAACTGTTCTGATCAGCCATACTAAAGTGAAAAAGCATCAAGACAACCAAGAGGCTGCCGGCACTGGTATGTTGTACATTTTGCTGCTATGCCTGTCATAGCACACTTGAGAAAGAGCCCCATTATTGCGCCCTGTAAGTGCAACATAGGCCTAACATTACTGATTTTATACTACTTAAATGAAGTCATGGGAATGGGATAAAGTATGATGGAAATGTTACGGAAAAGTTTTGAAAATTCATTGGTAAAAATGTGTTGAAACCCTCGTATACATGTAGGTTACACCACATTCATTATTTTTGCTCCCAGGCCAGAGGATGAGAACAGTTCAGAAAACAAGTAAGAAGAAATCCCAGTAAAGAAATGCCAACTGTTTACTATTATGACTATGCAGACCAGAGAACACCGATGAGTATTTTTTATTTACCATCCTTCCTCAATGTCTGTCTTTCAGCACTGCACTTTGCTTCACCTGTGCGTGGTACAGCAGCATTGTGACCTGTGGGCTGCTCCACCTGCTGCTGGTGCAGGTCATCAACGTCAGCTACAACGTAACCGAGCGCGAGGCCCGCACGGCCCTGCGAGACAAAACCGCTCGCAGCTCCTGCTGGGGACTCATCGTGGACACCGGCGTCTACTCCCGAGGTTTCCGTGGCAACTGGGCAGAGTTCATGACCATGGGAGATAAACTGAGTCCACCCTCTCCCGTCCCAACAGACCTGGTGTAAGAGACTTGTTACCCAACCTTGATTTTAAAAGTGTGGAGCTTCTGGTTGGTGTTCTTCTTCATGTCCACTGGATGGCAGCATTGCTCCTTTCACTCTGATTTCTTCTTCTGCTTGCAGCAAACCTGAGAGCTGCCATCACTGGGTTACTACAGTTACTGAATTGCTCTGACTTTGACACAACAGCAATAACAACTACCAACCCCAATAAGATGCATTCACTGCCATTAATGTCACTCACAACTGGCATCTCCTCTATGCAGCTGTATCTGCTCACACTGACCTTCAATCTCTCTCCACTTCTCATTAGTCTATCCGCCAATCAGATATCCCTGTTTCCTTCACGCTGACTGTCTTCCCCAGACTTGAACATTGTCTTTATGTGTCCTCTACATTCTAGTGCCTTGCTGGGAGTCGGCGTACAAGAGAATACATATGAGACTGAGTAATCTGTTCTGACATTCTCTCTGAGTACGGCATCAGCAACAAGATGGTGCCTCTGGAGTTGGTCAGTCCTGCACAAAACATTGTTCAGAGGTGTTCAGTGGTCTCTGCACACTTTGTCCTCCACAAACACTTATCCACAGTGTTCACAAAGCAGGGTACCTCCTTGTAATTGAAATGTCATGGATATTTATCACAGATGAATGAAACATCTCAGCACAAGCCACATAATCAGGATAATTAAAGTTCTACAGCATGTCATTGCATTAAACACAATGAACGATTGGATGGTTATAAATGTGAGTAGTTACCTTTATTCTCTTGAGCTGTTTCAAACTGAATTAAACAGCTGTGAACATGTGACAGAAGCAAATAAATCAACGCACATTAATGTCCTTGAGAAGTTAGTGTTTTACACTGTTGCTGCTTTTATTGAAGGGACTGAAAGCTCCTTGTTTTGGTATCCTAAAAATTGTATGGGTCCAGTTGTGTCTTTGTATGAAATGTATTTTATTTATTTTTATTAAATGAATGTGAGAAAGGTGCATGTGTTATTGTGATGTTTGCAGTTTGTCTCCTACATAGTCGCTTTCTACCAAAGGCTTCACAGCTGATGGGAACAAAAATCAGGCAGAACCGCGGTCACTCTCCGTCCCAGCCTCTCTCGCCGCTCCTCCCTCACTCTCTCCTTGCGCAGCACACAGGGAAGCTGCCTCCAGGACAGCAAACATCGCCGCAGCACCCATCTGAAGTGCAAACAGATGGAGGGACAGACGGGAACAGAGCAAATGAGCAATAAGAAAGTGAATTATTGGGACCAACACCTAGGGCTAATGAGTTTTCACATGATGTCACAGGGGGCTTATTGACAGTGGCAGCTGGGCAGCTGGTGGGAATTCACCTGCAGGCTGTGGTCATTTAGCTGACCTAACCTGAGAAGCTGAAGTTTATAAGCACACATATTTTGTGTCAATGACGGGGACAAAATTAAGTCAGACCAGTGCTGTGACAATCATTATTTTTTCCACAGTAGGAAACAGAAGGCCACCTAATAATGCTGCTATTAAGCATAACCATAACCAAAAATGTGTTTGCTTATTTACATTGTAAAATTTGTAGGAGGAAGCAATTTTGCAAAACTATTTAAATGCAAATTGGTAAAGTTCTCAAAGAGTCACCAAACCGGCTCTTGTTTTGGCCATGCTGGCAGTGTGGCTCTAGGGATGACAATGTTGGTCTATCTGTGCATCACTTGTGTTCAGACTAAATTTTCGCAACAACTATGGGGTGGGCTGTCATCACATTTTGTTTACATACCCATAGTGCCCTTGTACTTTTCCTTTAGTGCCATCAGCAGGTCAAAGTTTCTACTTGTCCAGTAAATTATCTCAACTTCAACAAGGTGGATTGGCAAAATTGACATTCACAGTTCCAAGAGGATAATTTCTTATAACTTCAATGGTCCTCTGACTTTTCCTCTCCTGCCACTGTGGTTTTAAAGGAATGCTTCACCCCAAATTACTCATTTTTACATAAATGACTTACCTGGTGTTATGGAGAATTGCTGAAGAAAACTTTCTCACATGCTTCCATGGTAAACCAAGAATAAAAAAACTGAGAAGATTCTGGATGAATTTAAGTCATTAGGGTCCACCTTAAACAACAGCAAAACTATATCAAAACATCCATTTACACACTCGCACAACTCGTGCAGTATAATCCAAGTCTTGTTTATCCAGTCGTATGCTCAGTACCTCCCAAACAGTCAACCATTTCTGGTGGTGAAGTGAACTGAAAGTGAAACTTTCATCCTGATCAGATGCCCATATCACTTCAGCTGACCGCTTTCGACGTGAAGGAGCAGCGGCTCTACTCCGAGCTCCTTACCCTATCTCTAAGGGTGAGCCCAGCCACCCCACAGAGGAAACTCATTTTGGCCGCTTGTATCTGCGATCTCATTCTTCCAGTCACTACCCAGAGCTCATAACCATGGGTGACAGTTGGGACGTAGATGGACCAGTACATGGAAAGCTTTGCTTTCTGACTAAGCTCTCTTTTCACCACGATGGTCCGGCACAGTGCCTGCATCACTGCAGATGCCGCACCAAACCACCAGTCCATCTCATGCTCCATTCTACCATCACTTGTGAACAAGACCCCGAGATACTTGGGCTTCCTTGGTGGGGGCTGTGGCTCACTCCCAACCTGGAGGGGCAATCCACTGTTTTCCAACTCTCATGTTCAGCAAAGTATAATGACTGTTTTTGTAAAAAGAAACTGACTTTGAAGAGAGCATTGGGAAGTATCACTTTCAGTTCACTTCGCCATCAGACAGAGCCGTCTGTTTGGGAAGTGCTGAGCATACGACTGGGTAAACAAGACTCAGATTATACTACACGAGTTGTGTTGAAGTCTGTAAATGGATGTTTGATATAGTTTTGCTGTTGTTAAACATAGACCCCTATGACTTCAATTCATCAAAAATTTAATCAGTTTTTGGACTCTTGGTCAGCAGAGGCATGTAAGAAGTTTTCACCACAAATTCAACGTAAGGTGGGGTGAGTAATTAATAAACAAATGGGGTGAAGTATTGCTTTCATGTAAAATGTCTCCACGACTTTAAGCTAGAAAAAGAGTATTACTGCAGAAAATACTGTTTATTTTGAACGACCCAGGGCTAGAGACCAGTCAGGCTATGAACACTCTCAACAGGAGCAGCAAAACACCACAACTGAGTCCATTAATCACAATACGAGACATTTACAGCTGACAGCAGATTTAAGGCACTTCACTGGAGCTAAAGAGATGATGGTTTATAATCTAATGTACAGACAGCTGCAGTGGACAACTCCCTGTAAAAGACAATGGACCGCAAAAGCTCTTACATTTCACATTGGTAAATGTTCAAGAACTGCTTCTGCTCAAAAATTTATTTTCCAGTGGGTAACCTTTATGATAAAGTCTCATCTTTCTTCATAGCATGGGCCTTTAAATGTCTACAAAGTCTGATACACATTCAAGGTATTGTGGTTTTCCTGGCACACTGTGACCAAACTGCTCTGATACCACCTTTCAACTTGTAATTAAACAAGCTGTTAAATTTAATTTTACACCCTGTTAGTTGGTTGTGCTACAGAGGAAACAACCCGCAGCATCCACACAATGAACATATGGGGAAAGTCATGGGAAGCCGACCTGTTATTGTGCTCCTGAGCCAGCTCCTGACGGTCCCACTCCACCAGCCTCTCCTGGGTCACGTGGTCCAGCAGTGCCAGCAGAAACCTCCTCAGAGTACGAGTGCGATAGAAACGCTCAGCTCTCTCCTCTTGGATCATCCGCCAGTCCTTTAGCTGAAATGGAGGACACATGCACAGAGATGAGGACATTTAATGCTGCTTATTGGCACTCAACCCATCTTTTAGCAGTAAAACCAACAATGAAACAAGTTACTCTGTGTGTTAAAATAATGAGGATGGCACTAGCTTAAACAAGAAGTAGAAAATGGTCAAAACTTTCTTTTCTTTAAGGACTGAAAACATGATTGAGTGCAGGTAGAAGAGGAGATTAGGAAAAGGTGGTGCTCTAGGTCACTGGCAGAAGATGGGGAGACTGCAATCCTGATTGAGTAACTGTTTGTGTGTGTGTGTGTGTGTGTGTGTGTGTGTGTGTGTGTGTAAGGGAGTATATACACACTCTTTTCCAGCAGCTTAAGCCCCTCCGAAGCAAGAAGTGCTGGTGCAGTTGGTCAGCAGAAGCTTCTTTCTCAGACAGGGACTCTCTTGCTGATTCCTGCCAGCCTAGTGTGCACCGCCTCAGGAGGGAGAGATTGCGATGATTCTCGGCCAGCTGGCGGGGATTGAAAAGAAAAGCGCTGAGGCATCCAAACTCAATCATACGTGCAGGGTTGAAACAATGGAGCACTATGAAATGATGAAGCGCCTGCATCTCACATTTAACAAAGAGGGTTTATATCTAGCTGTGAAACATGTATGCACAAGAGTTTTTGTGTGATGCTATGAGAGGAGGATTTTGAAGATGAAGAGAATGTACAAAGTTGTCACATGCTTTTGTTTGGAGATTTTCCCTCTCCCTTGCTGAGCATGTGTGTGTCCAGGCTTTTTGTGTGCATGTCCAGGAGTGTAAGTGTGTTATTGGGTGGTGGGTTTATGTGTGTTTTGTGGCTTTTTAGCTGCAGAGGGAATATTTTTACCACAAGGCCCAGTCTATTAAATGTGTTAAAGTGGGTTGCCTGTGGATACGCAGCGTGTCGTTTGCGATGCTTCATCGTAATAATAATAACCAACTCTATATAGCACTTCTAAAAATCAAAGTGCTATCCAATCGGGGAAAATGCGATACCAATGGACAGATATTAATAAAATGGAATGACAAATCATCCCAGCAACAGGGACAATAAATACAGAATAAATAAATGAATACAAAAATCAGCCAAGAAAAAAGGAGAAATAGATGAAGAGCCAACTCATTACGGCAGTTTTAAGAAGTTATTTATACTAATAGTTAAAAAAGGCTGTGTTAGCTGTGTCTTAACAGTTCTACCTCTTCAGTTAATGCCACTGACAAGACAACAATAAAGCCTGTATAATCTTAAATAGCTAAAATCTAAGGCAGATTAGTCTTTGTAGTCTTCGTCAGATGGATGAAAAATAACTAAAGAAGCTTTTTTAGTATGAGACCATTGGGAAGCTTTATGTCCACCAGCAGCCCATGAGCCATAAAAACATCCACCCACTTGTAAAGATCTGAATGATGAAAAGCCTTTCATAGACACACGTGGCCTTTAAGCGACTGCCTTTAAGTCAGAAAGCAGATGTGCCGCACAGTGTTGATGTTTTTAAAAGCAAACTCAAGACCTACCTGACTTTTATTTGAGCTGTCTTTTATTTTATTGTATTATCATTTATTATATATATTATTATTTCATTTTATTTTATTTTTTAAATTTTGTATTTATGATTATTGTGTATTTTTATTAATCCATTTTTTTTAGCTGGCATATTCTTCTTCTTTTTTTTTTTTAAAGATATTTTTGGGCCATTTTGCCTTTAATGGACAGGACAGGTAAGTGTGAAGGGGGGAGAGAGAGAGGGGATGACATGCAGCAAAGGGCCACAGGCTGGATTCGAACCCGGGCCGCTGTGGCAACAGCCTTGTACATGGGGTGCCTGCTCTACCACTAAGCCACCGATGCCCCAAGCTGGCATATTCTTCTACTTAGTTACTTATTTATTTATCTTCTTTATTCTGAGTTTTTATCCTGCCTCTGGTGTTTCCCCACTTATGAGAGGGAGGTAGAGGAGGAGAAATGCAGAACAGCGGAAAATAAGAGGGAGGAGAAACGGCAGGAGAGAGAGATGAGATTCATATTTTATGATCGTTCCCAAAAACATGAGTCAGAATACAGGAAGCAGTGAGTGACACACAGCAGACTGTACTCTCATGACACACGGCAGAGTATTAAAATAATGTCACTTCTTTCTGTGTGTGTGTGAGTGCACTTTGTGTTGCAGTAAGTTTGTATGAAAAGTGCTATATAAATACAGTTTGATTGATGCACATGCAGTACTGTATGCAAGAGAGTCTATAAACAGGCTTTTTATTATTCAAATCCATGGCATGCACCTGGATTTCGATTTACCCTCGTAGGTCAAAATGCCCTTTTAGTTATTATAACTCTGTTATGTGATAATGAAAAGCCTGGAGTGCTCCTCGCACGGCTTCCTGTTTAAATAGGTTTTAAAAATCAAGAGTGCCTCCTGGGTTCTTAAAGGGGTAAGAGTTAAGGGGATTTAGTGGCATCCAGCAGATTGCAACCAGATAAAACTTCTCTTATGTGCTGAGTGTGGACTCACGTTTAAAACTCCTTCAGGATTCATTGTTCAGGAGGTTTTAACCAAGAGCCACATTATCCGCAGAGAACTTTTCCTCTCCAAAACAATCAGATCAGGTGATTAAAACAGGTAAAAACACTGGATAAAGCAGTGTCACATTACAAATCAGTGTTCCTCTGATGCAGTTTAGCATGTCAGAGAGGGGCTGCTAGCCCAGCACGTGCTAGTGTGTGCTCACCTTTTTCCTCTGATAACTTAAGATCCAGATGTTCAAGAGGTTTTTAACAGGAGCAGAATTATTCGCAGAGGTCTCTTCCTTCCCAAAACTAATAGACCAGGTAATTAAACCTGGTAAAAACACTGAGTAAAACCGTTTCATGTGAAAAAAATCTGTATTTTTCAGACACTGGTCGTTGGGGCTGCTAACTATGCTGACCAATGTGGAGACGTGGAAATGCTGTGACACGAAAATGCCAGTGGCCCTATCTAGAGCCAGTGTTTGGTTTGTCTGTTCTAGACAACTGTACAAACATGATGGTGCAACATGGCAATCTCTGTAGAGGAGGACCAGCTCCCTATATAGATATAAGCAGTTTATCTGAGGTGATGATACACTAAAGAAAACATACTTATTATATAATATTTAATTTCTGCAATATGTCCCCCTAAATCCTACACATTGGACCTTTAAAATGTTGAGCTGGAGCACTGAGGGCAGGCTGACTTTGGCTGAAAGTACTTTGTATGTTGCGGTGATTCACCTGTATGTTAGCTTGTCTGAGCTGAATGAGGCGTTTCCATGGCGCCAGGCCCCGCCGTAGCAGCAAGTTTCTGTGGTAGTGTTGACGAGCCAGCTTCAGGAGCTCCTGCTGCCTCTTCAGTTGTCTCTGTTTCTCCTCTTCCCTCTGAACACACACACACACACACACACACACACACACACACACACAGAAAGAAGTGACATTATTTTAATACTCTGCAGTGTGTCATGAGAGTACAGTCCTGTTGTTTGTCACTCACTGCTTCCTGTATTCTGACTCATGTTTTTGGGAACGGCCATAAAATATGAATCTCACCTCTTTTTCCTGCCTTTTCTCCTCCCTCTTCTTTTCCGCTGCTCTGCGTTTCTCCTCCTCTTCCTCCCTCTGCCTCTGTTCCTCGGCAGCTTTCATCTCAGCCTTAAAAGTTCAGTTAAATGTGTGTTTGTCTGACATTGTTTCAGACAATTACATTGTGCGTCTCATCCTACAAAGAACTAATCAACCTCTTACCAGTTTTTCCTCTTCCTTCTTTCTCTTGAGCTCCTCGATCCCCTTCCTTCTCTCCGCGCGTTCTCGTGCACGGGCCTCCATGGCTTTAATGACAAGGAGAGGGTAGAGTTGAGCACACGGTATTCCTCTGTGGTACACCGGAGTCTCAGGAGTGAATATATGGATGTTTTTAAATGCCTTCACATTCTGCACACGTAACTAGAAGGAAAACGAGTTCTGCTGTTGCAGGACTTCTGACCTATAGGATTATACATATGGAAATGCGATGTCTGCATGTGTGTGATTCAGGGTCATGCAATTTTCTTGACAAAAGAGCTGGAAAATTTCATTTTGGAAGGATATGTAGCTGCTATGTATGTTCATATGTGTGACTTTGTGTGTGCTGTCTTAGCGAAGGACCTTGCAGACTGACCTGTAATGATTGGATGTGGGGATGTCTGGCGTGTGACAGCTTTCCTTTGAGGTGCACAGAGACTGTCAGGTTCTTCGGTAACTCTTGGCACCCTGCAACAGTAACAATCACAGCCAGAGGCATGGAAGCAAAGGCCCGTCATTACGCTGTCTGTGCATTCACATCACCCTGATCCTTACTGGGGAAATTTTATTCAGACAAACTTGACAGACATGCGTCACTGTCCATAAATCTGTAAATGAATTTTAGTGTGAGGTAAAGTGCAGAACTTTTTGCTTATATTCAAAACCGAAATGTTCAAGGTTGCACAGACTTCTTGGAACGTGCATTTTATTTGCTATCACATAAATATATAATCACAAGAACCATGAATGTTCCAACTTTTGCACAACCTCCTACTCCTCTGTTCTCTCTAAGCTTTAAAATCCCTCTGTAGCTTATCTGTTTCTTTCTCTCTGCTCCTATGTGACTTGTATTTAATAAGGAAAGCTATTAACAGATAATGACTTTTGCCCCGATTCACCTCAGTGTGGCTCCTGAAAACAATAAGTATCTGTACTTTTCTAGACATTTGAGATATAAGTTTAAAAGGGTGTTATTTCTGCAAATATCCTTTCAACCCTGGTTTAATTACTGAGGTGTCCAATGACCTGGTAACATTAGTCTGCACTGTACAAAAAGTAGCAGTGGGCTAAACTAAGTGTTTGTTCATCTAAAGAGAGTTTTAGAGCTAACAGCACATTTGGGGCATGGAGGTATGGAGACAGTCTTACTTATAATGTAATTGTCCAGGGGGTTGCAGTAGGCCAGGCTAAGAATCTATACACACACACGCACACACACACACACACACACACACACACACACACTGTATTGTACTTGTTCACAGGACTGAACAGCCCTAATTAAGGATAACCTCCATATTCCTGCATTATTTTCTAACCTTGTACTATCAAATTGCTTAAAGGGACAGTTCGTTCCAAAACTAAAGATGCATATTTTTCCTCTTACCTGTGGTGCTATTTATCAATTAGATTATGAGTGTTGGAGATATCAGAAGTAGAGATGTCTGGCTTCTCTTGAGTATAATAGAACTAGATGGCATTCAGCTTGTGGTGTTCAAAGTAATCCACAGACCTTGTTGTGAGCAGTTCCTACATGAAACTGCTCACAACAAGGTCTGTGGATTATCTTGAGTAACTGGGTCATGATTTCTGGAAAGAGACATTGATGTTGAGTTTTTTAAACAATTTTTTTTTGCGTTTGAGCACCACAAGTTGAGTGCCATCTAGTTCCATTATATTTGAGCGATGGCAGACATCTCCTCACCTGATATCTCTAACACTCACACCAAAACAAGCTAGATTGATAAACAGCACTACAGGGAAGAGGAAAAATATGTATATTTGATTTTGGGTTGAACTGTCCCTTTAAGACTCACTATAACTTTAGATCTACATCCAGACCCACTGGACCAACTTTTAAATGGTTTCATTTAGTGTAACAGTTGCAAGTTTGACTAATATACACTTAATGGTGATCACTTCCTGACCTAAACTAACTTGTTATTGTTCCTGAAAATTGAACCACTTTCTAAAAAGATACCCTTTATAAAAGGTTGATAAGATGTAACTAGTGGATTTATTAACACCTAAAATGTTATTTACTGATGCCTTATAAATCCACTATGAGCCATTATAAAGAACAATGTTTGGCTTGCCAGGTTGTGTAGAATCTAGTCTTCTCTGGAATGTAGACCACCCCAATGGCCGATTAGAAATCTGGGGCCAGGTGCATTTAAGTTAAAATTTTCCTTTAAATCTGAATTAAGGTTGCACAAAACATCCTTAAATCTTCTCCTTAAGCTTAGGTTTTTTTCCTTATCTTGGTCTTGTACTTAAAGGGATAGTGCACCCAACAATGAAAATTCAGCCATTATCTACTCACCCATATGCCGAGGGAGGCTCAGGTGAAGTTTTAGAGTCCTCACAACACTTGCGGAGATCCAGGGGGAGAGGGGGTAGCAACAAAACTCCACCTAATGGAGGCTTACGGGCTACAATGAGGTTAAAAACAGAGTTCAAATTACGTTTTTCCAAACAACTTTTTATGTCGGGGCTTCAGGACACTTGGATCACTATGGACGAGCAGTATGGAGATATTTTGTGGTTTCGATTATGTGTTTTTGGACGTGGGCGCCGTCAGTTAGGTGGAGTTGCTACCCCTCTCCCCTTGGATCTCTGCAAGTGTTGTGAGGAGTCTGAAACTTCACCTGAGCCTCCATCGGCATATGGGTGAGTAGATAATGGCTGAATTTTCATATTTTGGTGCACTATCCCTTCAAGGAATTGATTAAAGTTTATTAAACTGGTCCTTAGCAACCAAAGAAAGGTCAAAAAACATAAGGTACCTCTGACTACATCTTAACAGCAACATGGCTTAGTTTATGGTGATAAATAATGAAAATAAAGGCAGGAGAAGTCCAGAGAAGAGTGTTCCCAACCAGGAGAACCTGATGGATGCATTGTAAATTTGATCCGAGGTCAGTTTATGATTTGCCTCAACTTCTTTTTTTTTCTTTCTTTTTTTAAAGATATTTTTTGGGGCATTTTTAGCCATTAATGGATAGGACAGACACGTGTGAAGTGGGGAGAGAGAGAGAGGGAGTGATATGCAGTAAAGGGCCACAGGCTGGAGTTTAACCCAGGCCGCTGCAGCAACAGCCTTGTACATGGGGCGCCTGCTCTACCACTAAGCCACCGATGCCCCAATTTGCCTCAACTTCTGAAGTTGGATCACTCAACTTCCAGAAGCTGCGCCCTTTCAGCCCCGTTACAATTAATGATTGCTCTGCAGTTTTATGGAACGGGATCTTTCCAATGAGTTATTGCCGAGGCATTTTATGTTCACAAGTCAAAGGTGTGCCATGTAATTCACCGGGTTTCAAACACCCTCATCCGCCTGCTGAACACTGTAGTGAAGTTTCTGTCCCAACAAGAAAAGAATGAGATAGCAATAACAGGTAGGCTATCACAAGCGCCAGCAACAAATGGTCTCCATGGAAACAGTAGAATTGTACTGCTGTAAAATCTCTTTTAGTGCCAATGCCTAAACGTTAGCAAGAGAGATTTTTCACAAACTGGCGACCTATAAGTTGTTCTTATTAGACTGACTAATAAGGTGGTAGTAAAAGGTTTATTAACCATTAACAAAGCCTTCAGTTACAGCTCATAAAGCCCTTATGATGGGTGTCATATAGAGTGTTGAATCCATGAGCCTACCTCTGCTCTCTGGGGTCAGAGTCATTTTTCTTTGGTCTGGAGCCTCTCACCACTGATAGCTGGGTGAGCTGTGCAGTTTTCTCCATTTCCAGCTCCAGTCCCATCACGCTCTGAACCTCCTTCAGCTGGGCTATCTGATCTTGCTGCTCTTTCAGCAGCTTCCTCTGCTGAGCGATGATCTGCTGCTGGACAGCGTGTCTGTTCTCAAACCTGCCGCCTGGCGAAGCTGCCCTTTTTGAACAGGTAAAGCTGCCGCCCTCACCTCTCTGCTGTGCCCTGTGGAGCTCAGCGGCAGTCGGTGCTGCATGGCGTTGGGTCACCTGCCATGGCTGAGTGGGCTGGGCCAAAGCAACCACAGGAGTTTGATGTACTGCAGACGCGTCGGGGGCTACAGTGGTTGACCTCTGGTGATCTTCCTACAGAGAACAGCAGATATGAAGATGGTGTCACATATGAAAAAATCATCTACGTCTACAAAAAAGTTTTAGGGGAATAACAAGGAAAGTATCCAGTGCAATTTAAACTTTACTGAGCTCTAGATATCCTGATATATAAGCAGCAGGGGCCTGATATGGCCTCTTTATTGACCCCTCCACCGTGAACTCCAGCAACTCAAACCTCATCTCCTGTTGTTTTTTCCGTCCCTCGAGCTCTGTTCCACTATCCTACACCTTGTAACATCTGCTCTATGCCTTCCCGTCCCTTATAGTTGCTCTGCTCCTTCTTTCCTCCTCTCAGTCTCCAGAGTTGTGAATATTTCAGCAGGAAAAGTTTTTCTCCCTGGTTGCCTACCTCAGAAAGGTTAAGGTCACCCCATGCAAGGAGCAGATTTGGAAAACTATTCTTATTCAACCTAAGTCCCAAACTTATTTGTTGCCTCAGTGATTTTAGCCTTTTGCATCATCTGCCAAGGATAGGGCTGATGTTTTAGTCATGATCTCACTAAAAATGTGATTTGTCAAGTTGTTTTCAGTGGGAAGACATTTGAATTAATCCCTTTGCATTGTTGCTGATGATATGGAGATATGTGAGTGCACCTCTCACCTTTCTCTTGGTCTCAGGTTGGTTAGACGCCTCAGGTGGAGCCATGATTGGCTGATAAGATTGGGTCTCTCTGTGTTTGAGCTTGCCTGTTGTTGCAGCATTGATTAAGGCAGCCATCTTGTGCCGGGTCTCCTGCTGCTGAGCCAAAAGCTCTCGCTGCTCCTTTTCCATCCGACACCATAGCCGCCACTCATCCAGACATCGCTGTAGCAACCGCCTTCGGTCGCTCTCCACAGCCAGCTGGCGTTGTCTGAAGGAGGGAACAGATGTGGTCCTATTTTTAAACCTCAATTAATGCTTGTCTATCAGTGAGTATCTTCTAGAAATACTGTCATAATTAATGGTCTAATATGAAATTTATGTTGTAATTCATATTGTGTCACTTGTGGTAAAAGGTAGGATTTGTACAATGATGGGTTCAGGACCCTTTAACATGACCTCTTTCAACTCTTGCCTGTTTTCAGCTCGCAAATCCGTCTCTGTTCTCGCCACCTCTCGCTGCTGATGTTCTGCCCACACCACTGCCCGCCATGCTCGCCATGCTCTCAGCTGGCGCTTCCAATCAGAGAGAGCCATGGCCTTACCTAAACGTAGCCTTCGGTCCAACACCACTGAATACCATCCAGAGAAATGCTTCTGCAGACACTAAAACATGGACATAAATACATGTCAACACTCAGGCCCACAAGGTAGAGAATTTACATTTACATATTTGCTCTATCAAACTACAAACACACCCACACACACGGCACAGGTACCGACCTTGAGGTTACCGATGTGAACCATGGTTTGAATTTTCTGTTCTTTATGAATTCGCTCTGTGTCCTGCGGCTGCTGTTTTGTGGGAAGTGGAGGAGCTGACTGGACGCTTCTGGCTGCCTTTTGCCCCTCCACTCTCTCCCTTTCCCTGTGGAATACACATACTTTACATATACATGATCTACCAGGGCCCTGTAAAGAATGGCAAGCAGTGAAAAAAAAAGTTGCAGTGAATACATATATATTGTATATTGCATATATTGCAAGAACATATACTGAAGAAATAACTCACAAGTTTTTCCATAAGCAGGCCTGTCCACAAAAAGGGCAGGGCCCCTGAAAAAGTCCAGTTTTTTTATGCGTTTTTTCTTTGTTTGTTTTGTTTTGCAATGGTTGCATTCAAAAAAGAAAGACGAAAAAAAAATCAGGAGAGGGGGTTTTCATTATGAAACAGGCTGCAATTTACCAAGACAACAATAAATACAGTGTTTATTGTTTTAATAAGTATGGTGAATATTTTGGTTTAAGATAAAATATTAAGGATAAACATGATTATTGTTGGCCGCCATAAATGCCCCCTAGTGGGTGGGCCCCAGAAGTATTTCCCCTTTATAGCACTGTATGCACGGCCCTGTTCATAAGTGCACACCATATTTCCTGGTATCGACCCAATCATTTTTTACTTAAAGCATTGCTGGACCTCACAGAGCCGTAAGCATGGCTGTAGATGAATATTCTTCGTGGTGTAATAAACATTAAGCATAGCATTAGTTCAGGCAGGACATGATGTCAAGTTCAGCTCACATCCCAGCTACATCAGCTGATCTCAAACAGCCAATCAACTGATGGAGCAGCTGATTGATGGAAGGGAGTCAGTTGATAGATCACATGATTCCTTTCTATGCAACCAATTGGCGAATCTCATTCAGGGCGCCCTGTTTAAACTGCTCTGGCCTGCCTACTGTTGCTGCTTCCTCTGCAAGCCGCTTTGCAACCCACCTCCATCCCAGCTCCTCCTTTTCATGTTCTGTCTGACTTATCAATGTCATTTCTGTTTGTCACTGATGCTGCTCTGTTCTGCTCCCTGCCTTAGGCTTTTCATGTAGGTGCGTGGAAGGGCAGGGAGGTTTGCTCTCTCAGCCTCAGGCTTTTCTTATTTGCACGTGGAAGGGCAGAGAGTTGTGCTCTCTCAGCCTTAGGGTTCCACATAGGTGCTTGGAAGAGGCTTTCTGCATATGCCTGAGGAAAGACAGAGAGGCCCCAGAACAGGGCCATACCGCCAAATATATTATCTGCAAATGGAAATTAAGTTTTCACTGACTAAAGTGTTCCTAACTGAACAAAGTTTGCATTGCATTGAGATTATTTTTCATTTTGAGTTACTTTGTAAGTCATTGCCAAACACTTATACATTACCAATACTTACTATACTATGTCTACTACTACTACTAATATTAATAATGATAATAATTATCATTATCATCATCATCATCATCATAAACTTCATTCATGAAGCACTTTTCAATATGAAGTTACAAAGTGCTTTACTAGGATATGTAACATTGTAGGATTTAGGCAAATATAAGTTATACAGAGAGTAAACAAAAAAAGACAAGGAAAGAAAAGTAAAGAAACCAAAAGAAAATCCCATTAATCCATTACACCCACGTCTTACTTCTCTTCTCCCATTATTACACCAAGACCATTCATAGTTTGGGACAAAAAAGTGTGTCGTTAATACTCCTCTTAATCTGACATTATGAGGAATATCAAATGGTCTCATTTTTGTTTCCGCATGGTGACAACCACTGGTTGCATTTAACAAAGGATGGTCATGATTGGAGTTACCTTAGGACAGAAAACCTTGGCTGGTACACATTTTTTGTGAGAGATTACACAGCAGTGTTGACCGAGAGATTATGTACCCTCCACAGGGACACTTCTACAATACTTGTTAGGGTCAGGGAACTGGCCCACTTCCCAACAGGTTACCATTAATCCATTCAATCCACCAAAGGAAGGTGAAAGAGGTAAGATCACGTACGGTGCAATCAGACAGGAGACTGAGGGTTATTTTTGATAGCAACAATAAGCATTTCAGCACAGACCAGTAGATGGTGTGGATACTATACCTCTGTCGAACCAGCTGTTCCAGGCCTCTCCTCTCCTTCATCTGCCGGCGCAGTCTCACCATCTCCTGCTGCACCATCTCCTCCTGCCTACGTGCCTGCTGCTTCTTCCTCATCTCCTCCTCTCGCTCCCTTCTCTTTGCCTCCTCTCTGGCACCCCGCCGAGCCTCCCTCTCTCTCTGTTGCCTCTGCCTCTCAGTCTCCCGCTGGGCTCTGTTCTCGCGCACCTACAGTGGCAATTAGTGGAGCAAGTGTGAACACAACTTGGGTGCCCATTGTTCTGGCTGATTCTACTCACAGCAGTCACATCTCATATCTTGAGGAAATCACTGTAGTCACATACCTGCAGGTGTCGCGCTTCCATGGTGACAATTGGATCTCTGAACTTCTTCCTTGTTTGTCCAACATCCAGCGCCAGCTCCTCCATCACTCCAGAGTCTAACACCTCTCGCTCCATCAGGTCTTGAAGAAAGCTGTTAACAGTGCTGTGCTCTTCCTCCTCGGCCAGGCAGTTGTATAGATCTTTGCACAAGTGAGTGTGGGGAAAAAAGTATTTCACAACTGGAGAGTTGTTTTAAAGGAACTGCACTGGTGATTTTATATGTTTTATTCCATTAATATTTGTGCTGAAAATTACTGCTGACCATTTTGAAAAGCATACAATAAATCTTAGATTGCTTTGCTGGCAGTTACTGGTTTCAGTTCATTTCACTATGACATGAAAGTCCTTGTGCTGTGACGAAACACTTGCTTGAGATAGTCCCCCAGGAGGACATACAGCTTTAATTTGAAGGAGTACATTGAATATGAGGAACAAAACATTTACTAGGAACAAGCCTTCTCAAGTATGGGGTGACTCGTGGGTACCCACAGCACCCATTTTTATTCAGATATATTGACATGAGAGTTCAAGGGAACCCTTTGAAAATGGCCATGCCAGCTGTTCACTCAGGCAGTCTCTCAGGTACAGTCTCTTAAAGAGTAATATTGGCCTCAAATTATTTTTGCCCAGGTGGGGCCAGCAATTAAAGCAGCAGATCTATTACAGAAACCATTTAGATAACCATGAATATTATTGTTATACTCTATAGCAGTGCAGTAATGAATTGTTTTGGAAGTACATGGAAACTCAAGCATCTAAGATGTGGAAGTAACTTGTTGAAAATCATTGTATTTGCAAGTTATGTTGTAGGAAATAAAACCCAAATACCAAAAGATTAGGACATTTTGAAGAGAAATGAAAATCTGGTTAACTCTTGGTTTTAAAAAACATTGCAGTTTTGCATTCAACTCTAGCATCTTGTATTTTAGACTGTGAATGCACCACTAATAAGAAAACTATAGCCTACTACCAGTATGTGTCATCATAACTATGATACCTCAATGAGTGCATTTACATGCACACTAATAAACCGATCATTATCTGATTTCTGGAGTTACCTGATTATTCAAGTGGTCATGTAAACAGCATAATCCGATAGGCTTTATCAGATAAAAGCCATTATCTGATTATGAGAAATCAGATAAACACATCTATCTTTTTCCCCAATAGTCAGATTATTCAGTGCATGTATACCCTTTAATCTGGTTTCTTTCGGGTTTTGCTATTTTATACTCCCTCTCCACTACATTTTAGAGGGAAATATTGTACTTTCTACTCCACTACGTTAATCTGACAGCTTTTGTTTCCTTTCAGATAAAGATTTTACACAAAATAATATATTTTTATACTCTCAGTGTTTAAATTGTCACTTTTATTTTATCTCACTTATATGTTATGCACTTTGTGTGACAAGTTTATATACAGTACACTTGTATATTGCACTTTGCAGTACTTTTACTCCGAATCTACCCAAAGTATGTAAAATTGGCTCCACATTGATAAACTACACATTAGAATGCTCTCACATGTATTTGTTAATGATAAAAACAAACAGTACTGTAAGAATATAAGCTATCAGAATGATGAGTGCTTTATTTTGCAAATATATGACTTGCGTACTTTTCGAGGTTTTTCAAGGATATGTGTACCTACTGTAACAGGAAGTTTGAGTTTTATGTCATGTACTTGAGGAGAAATCCAACTGAAGGACTGAATCATGTAAACCAGGTTTTTCTGATTATCAGTTTATTGAAGAGCATGTAAACGCATCAAATCGGATTATTACCATTACCTGATTATTCCCAGTTATCTGATTATTGTGCGCATGTAACCGTGCTCACTGATTTAGGGGGATTTAGGGGCATCTAGCAGTGAGAATTGCAGATTGCAACCAGCTGAAACTTCTCCAGAATTATCTTCTTCTCCAAAACACATGGACCCAATGATTTAAACTAGTAAAAACACCTCATAAAGCAGTTTCATGTTAAAAAATCTGTGTTTTTGCAAAGCTCTCATCACTACGGAAGCCCATGCAAAAACATGAATGGCCCTTTCTAGAGCCAGTGTTTGGTTTGTCTGTTCTAGGTGACTGTGCGGTGCAACATATCGTTCTGTGGAAATGAGGATCCGCTCGCTATGTAGATATAAATGGCTCATTCTAAGGTAGCGAAAACACAGCAACTCTTATTTTCAGATACACTGAAGAAGATGTATTTATTATATTATATTCTATATCTGCCAATATTCCCCCTAATGTCCTACACACTGGACCTTTTACTTTGCCAAAATTACATTTTATAAATTCTTACTGGGATCTATATCTAATCTCAAGCATGTTTAATATCCCTGTAAGTACATCTTCACACTGCAGTGAAATCAAATCAGTGAGTACCTGGAAAACCAGGAAGATTTTTACTCAGAGGAAGCTTCTCTTTTGCAGAAACGCCCTGATCACATTCCCACAGTTACACACATACACACCTGAAAGCTGCCCAGTACAACCACAGTCTGATCTGCTGGCCACTGAGCAGCTCCACTGCAGCAGTTTGGGTTAAGGGCCTTGTTCAAGAGCACCACAGTGGTGCTGAAGGTCTGGGGATTGAACCACCAACCTCCTATTCACAAGCTTGCTTCTCTAACTTTTAGGCCACCACTGCCCAAAATGGTCAATATAGATGAAATAATTTGTGGTTAATGGTCTAAAAAGTACTGGTATGGTCTGTAACTCTAATTAAATTAATTTGTTTTATTTGTCATTTTGGCTCACCATTCCCATTATGGCCAGGGAATCTGACCTGGTCCTCATATCTGTCATTCATACAAAGAGGGAAGTTAGTTGGAGGGGTAACATAGTTTTCGTCCTTGCCCATACCATCAAAGTTGCTGTAGTCAAGGGCGGCAGGCTGAGCACTTCCCAGTGCAGCAGGGCTTCTTCTCTCACCGGAGCACATCAGGTCATCTTCTTCCTCAACGTCCAGCTCCAGCTGTAACTTACTGCTCAGCCAATCACAAAGGAGAGCCTGAGCTGCAAGAAGCAACCACCCAAATATTACTGCTCAGCCTGAGGCTGCTGCACTCACGGCTCAACTCTATTATATAGGTAACACTTCTCCAGAGACACTTCTATCTTTTTATATATGGGCTGACCTACCTTCACTATAAGCATCATCATGATCTCTTAACTGCTCAGAGCTTTGCAATGGTACAGCCAGGCTGTTGGTTCGTGACTGAGGTTTCTTGTCGGAGAGGACTTCAGATACAGCAAACTCAGAGGCCACCTCCACACGCTGGGGACAAGGAATAAGACTAATGATTGTTTTCATTATCAGTCAATCTGATGATTATTCAGTTGCTTAGTTTATCAGTCCAGTGTGCCATCTTCAAATTGCTTATTTTGACCACCAACAATCCAAAACCCAGTTTACAGTGATACAAAAAATGCACATAGGGTCCTCTTACCTTCCTCCACTGATCGATATCACCATTCTTGACATGCATCTGTTATTGAAAGAAAAATAACGTCAAGTGTAAGATACAATTTGCAAGAGAAAACACTAGTCTCAGGGTGAACTTTGCCTGTTTAAAAATGCCCAGCCAAGCTCTCAGACACCTTGAGCTGTGGGCACAGCGTGCAAATTGAGGGCTGAGCCAGTGCCTGATGTCTGCGGATTATTTCATAGGAAAGCTTAGCCACAGCAGATTACTTCAAAAATCATTTCCCAGGCGTCCAAAAGTCGGTGCTTTACTCGCAGCGATTCAGCTATCTGTGTCCCAGGCAGCAGACATATGAGGCTGCAGGCACGTGAATATTTGATAGGGCAATCTGTGACATTTTTTTTTAAAACCTTCCCCTGACATGAGCCATGCATTTATCCATGGTATTTGCACTGATTCATTAATAAATCCAATGCGACCCTCTTTACAATTATGTTTTATCTGTTTAGGGGATTTGACAATCCTGGGGAAAGGGTGTAAAAAGTGAAAATAGATTGAAAAATATTATATGTAAGAGGACGTGTTGAAGTGAGCTTCAATTTATTATCAATAATAGGCAGCCACAGTTTAATCCCTTTTTTCCAATTACATGAAAAACCACATACCTTTCACTTTAACATTAATCTAAAAACTACGCTTACCTTGTCTGCAGATGTTTTACTCTTGCCGTGGCTCCTCCACCTAAACAGGTGAGGGTTGTGACCTGGAAATGTCATCATGTGTTAAATTATATTAGTCTTTTACATCATTACATTGTCCTCTCCGACCAACAGCCACAAAAGACGACTATTTTACTATGTTTAAATCGATAAAAAGTGTTCAGAAGTTGCCACAAAGAGCTCTCACAAAACACAAGTCATGTACACTTACTGCTATCGATTTGCATCACAAAGGATTCTGGGTATTGTAGTAAATCAACCATTTTTCTAAGCTAAATGTACCGTCAACGAAGCATTTTTGGACTACATAGCCCAGTACACTTTTTTTGTAGTTCTTGGTAACCATAGCAACGCTGCTCACTTGTCTAGGCTCATCAACGGTCGCTGCGACAAATAGCACCATGCCTACTTTTTCGATTAAAACACCAATTTATAGTGTTGTCCGTTATACAGACATTTAAATAAAAAGGGTTATTGGATGTCTTTAGTTTTACTTCAAAATTTTATTACATTTTACACGCAAATTGGAGTTGTCAAAGTACCACCGCGGCCGGTGATGACGACATATTTCGTCGACTTGTAGTTCCTGTCAGGCAGTGAGTGTTGTTGGTAAGCGAATGAAAGATGCTCTTGAAGTAATATTTAGATCATTCAAACAAGCACAGCTGTAAGTGCGTAGGTTTATTTGACATACTTTAAGAGGAATAAGCATCTCAACTCGCCGGAAACCTGTTTAAAGCCGTAACACGTGAGTGGTTAAGCTAGCTAGCTACGTGGCTACTTCACGTGTGTGTTGCTAACGGTAGCTAACCGGCATCGCTGTCATTCAAACTCGTTGTGGTTTAGGTGTCTGTGCGTTAGTGTAGATTAGTGGATCTTTTAGAAGCGACTGCAGCTCGTATGTCTTGCAGTAGGATGAAGCTGGAGCTGTGCCGTGTGGTTCAGGGAAGCAGTCGGCTGGGTGTCCTGAAGGGGCTCGGCAGGACTGGACAGCACTCTTTGAAAGTCCCGGGGTGTCTGCTGCACACACATTTAGGCACAGTGCCCCACCTCACCCAGGACACACTGCACACCCTGAGCAACCTCCCCTCTGTCACCCAGGTCACCCTCTCCAATCTGTAAGATATACTCATCACACGCACACACACACACGCATGCACACATACCAAACTCTGCAATATAACTATTTTCCTCTCTCTCAAGAGCAGAGCACCAGGAAGTGTTGGAGGAGTTTAAGGATGGATTCAGGAAGTTTGCAGGTACTTTTGATACATCACATTTTTATTCTTGCTCTCTCCTCCCTCAGTACCGCTTATATTCCAAAGAACAGGAGAAAAGTGAAGAGGATAAATTGGGACAGTATTGATTAGACATAAATTCTCATGACACCCAGTGTATTCAGATGTATTTATAAAGAGGTAATCCATCATCAGCTTTTAACAAACAGGAAATCATGAAGAGTTGTATTCATAATAATGCAGTACAGCATTATTTACAGCTATCTAGTAATGGCACCAAACTGACCATGCATCTTAAATACACTGAACAAAAATATAAACGCAACACTTTTGTTTTTGCTCCCATTTTTCATAAGCTGAACTCAAAGATCTAAAACATTTGCTATAGACACAAATCTCACAAATATTGTAATATTGTTCACAAATCTGTCTAAATCTGTGTTAGTGCTCTCCTCTGCCGAGATAATCCATTCCACCTCACAGGTGTGGCATATCAAGATGCTGATTAGACAGCATGATTATTGCACAGGTGTGCCTTAGGCTGGCCACAATAAAAGGCCTGAAATGTGCAGTTTTGCTTTATTGGGGGGGGTCTGGGGGGGTCAGAAAACCAGTCAGTATCTGGTGTGACCACCATTTGCCTCACGCAGTGCAACACATCTCCTTCGCATAGAGTTGATCAGGTTGTTGATTGTGGTCCACTCCTCCATAACCCCACCGCCACCATGGGCCACTCAATCCACAACGTTGACATCAGCAAACCGCTCACCCACACAACGCCCCACACGCTGTCTACCATCTGCCCTGAACAGTGAAAACTGGGATTCATCCATGAAGAGAACACCTCTCCAATGTGCCAGATGCCATCGAATGTGAGCATTTGCCCACTCAAGTTGGTTACGACGACGAACTGCAGTCAGGTCGAGACCCCGATGAGGACGACGAGCATGCAGATGAGCTTCCCTGAGACGGTTTCTGACAGTTTGTGCAGAAATTCTTTGGTTATGCAAACCGATTGTTGCAGCAGCTGTCCGGGTGGCTGGTCTCAGACGATCTTGGAGGTGAACATGCTGGATGTGGAGGTCCTGTGCTGGTGTGGTTACATGTGGTCTGCGGTTGTGAGGCCAGTTGGATGTACTGCCAAATTGTCTGAAACGCCTTTGGAGACGACTTATGGTAGAGAAATGAACATTCAATTCACGGGCAACAGCTCTGGTGGACATTCCTGCAGTCAGCATGCCAATTGCATGCTCCCTCAAAACTTGCGACATCTGTGGCATTGTGCTGTGTGATAAAACTGAACATTTTACCGTAGGTCAACATCGCTGCAGACTTACGGTAAGGAAATTACCCACAGTTCATAGCGTTGTGACGTCGAATACAGGGGTTGCCCTCGGAACACCGGAAGTGTTAAAAAAAAAAGGTAAACAAATAAACACAGTCGGCAGATCTGCAAACAGTAACAATATAGATATAAGGTAGATATCACTATATCACTTACAGCACTTTTGATGCTAGTTTAGAAAAAAACATGCATATGGTAAAAACACAGTAAATTCATTATTTCAAACTTATCTCTTGCCCATTTGCAACACAAATGGACAAATGGTCTTTTGTGTTTATAGAAAATGTTTTAGATCTTTGAGTTCAGCTCATGAAAAATGGGAGCAAAAACAAAAGTGTTGCGTTTATATTTTTGTTCAGTGTATATACAGCAGCGTTAAAACGTTTTATGTATGGAAACTGATTTGTACTAAATAGTTGATATTACTTTATATGTGCAGGTAAAGGCAGTCAACTGCAAAAATAATATGGAGAGGTGTTACTAATTTGCAGATCTGGTACTTGTTATTGGTCAAAACATTGGACCAGATATTAGAAAAATATTGTAGCACCTAGGATCGCATGATATGCAAAAAGAAATCATATTGCAATTATTTTGACAGATATTGCAATTTGAATTCTGATTTTAATGGGAATGTTTGTTTTTTTTCTTCACACACACAAAAAAGATTAAAATGAGGATGATGTGATTTTTTTTGTACCAAACAAGCATGTTCCCTTATGTCTGCAATATGATTTGTAGCCTGGAGCATCTCTGTCTCTTCATTTATGATGTTATGTTGTAACACATTTTACCTTTATTGAAAAATTGCAGCTCCTGCGAGTTGGATGTTGCACTTGAGCATATTGCGATTTTGATTAATTGTGCAGCCCTGGTAACAGCATACATCATTACAACAGTGGCCAGTCAGTGCTGAACTGCTGTTTTAAGCAAAGTGTGTTAATTCAAATAGTGTAATGGCATTTTCTGCTAAGATTTGACATTTCTTCTCGACCTGGGAAAAAAATGATAAAAACAACTCACCACATGGTTCACCCAGTCACTGTTCCATTCCTTTGGACTTTGAAGCAGCATGCGTGAGATGGTTTGAAATGAGCATTAACAGATCTTTAAAGAGGTTGTGAGTGTAAATATCTTCCTCAAAGTTGTCTTTTTTTCCTCCCCTTTAAAGGAGCAATCAGTCTGTCTCTGCTGAAAAGCGTTGCATTTGAACTGTGCTGTGTTTAGACTATGTCCGTCCTTTGACTGAAGGAGTTTTGGTTGTCATCTAAAACACATCAGTCTCTAAAGCTGTCAAAACAACAAGTAAAGTCATCTCTCTGACAAAGATTAGGAGGCTGAGGAGCAAAGGACTGTTTGTTCAGCTGTTTTGAATTAACCTTGGTGCTGTTGTGCCCCACTGTTATTGTTATTTAGCTCTCTACATTAGTCATATTTGAAATAGCAAAAACATTAGAAGAACGCCTGCTAGGCTCAAAATCCTTCAGTGGTGTGACTTGTTGATTGATGTAAATGTCATGCATACTTGATGCACAAATTTACTCTTAAGAGCTCGGGGTGTATGAACATTATTTGCACTGACTAGATTGAAAAGAATGGAGAAAATTGCCTCTAAATATACAGTTGAGTTCAGCATTGAAAAGCTGATTAGCTCCATGAGCTTGACCAAAGCATGGTGCCGCTCTGAGTAATATTTATATGAATGCCCCAGAAGAGTGACACCATTCAGCTTTGATGTAAAACAGTAGCTGTGGTGTTAAGCCTTACCCTGCCTCAAGCAACAAAATTTAAAATTAGAAATGTAATCATTGTAGCGTCGCTTGCCGTAAACTGTCAGGGGATTACTACTGTGCTGTCTCTTCAGTCCCAGAAAGGAAGAGCAGTGATTGAATAATTAGAAATTGAATAATTAGAAATATTAACAGCATTTGCTGCTGTTCAGCCTTTTTGTTTTCCCACCTTTTGATCTTCTGCTGCAGCTGGGTTTGCTGATAAGGCCGCACCTCATTCCTCTCTGCCGCCTCAGAGCCGTCACATTAACATGCAGTAATGAAGCATCTCACTCCGTCACCTCGCTTTGTGCTCGGCCTATGCTGACTTTAACCCTCTGATTCTGTCCCCTGTGAGTGATAAGCATTGATTTTCATTTTGTGCTTTTTTTGCAGGTCTTCACGATACTGTGTTGTACTGCTCGCTTCACGACCCTGCGACCCCCTGCCCCACAGGTTACACTACTAACAAGGTGAGATTAAGCTTCTGCTCAAAGAAATAGGTTCCACATTTTTGGAAATACACGTATTCTCTTTCATGCTGAGAGTTAGATTGGAAGATCAATACCACTTTGATATCTGTGCACTAAATACGTAGCTGGAGCCATCAGCCTGTTAGCTTAGCATAAAGCCTGGAAAACGGGGAAGCAGCTTGCCTTGTTCTGTCTTAAGGCAGCAAAATCCTCCAACCATCACATCTGCGACTCAAGGTGTGAAGATGATGTAGTTTTAGTATGGATTAGTGTCTGTTTCTTTACAGGTAGCAGTTGCTCGGCAACCAGTGTGGAGTATGACTTAGAGCTATCCACACTTAACAT